AAATAAAGCCAAAGTAGAAAGAAAACCAGTACCCACCACTACTCCAGGCCTGCAGCAAATACATCAATGTTCACTCAAGGCCCAAGGACCCTTCAGTCAGCTTGTGATGAATACTGTTGAGCCTGGGACTCTCCCTTCAGGACAGTGCTCCCCTTGAGTCCACGAAAAGTCCAGAAATACCATCCATGTGCCAAGATCTGGAATCATGGACCCCAAGAGCCCACTTGATTCTCTACCCCTCTGTGGCCAATATGGTACCTAAACTTCAAGACAAAGTCCCCTTTACTCTTCCCCTCCTTTTCTCAAGCAGAAGGAGTCTCTCACCATAGCCAGCATAGCTGGGGATGTGCTGAGTCACACTTGAAGCTAGCATGTCTCTGAATCTCACCCAAGGCCCATAGCAAGTACTGTCTAGCTACCACTGCTAACTATTCAGGGCCAAAGAGCTCTTTAGTCAGTAGTTAATGAATTGTGGCAGGACTGAGTCCTTCTCTTCAAGGCAGCTGGTCCTCTTCTGGCCCAGGGTGTGTCTAGAAATAACATGAGGAGCTAGGGCCTGGAATGAGGGCCTCTGGTCTCTGCCTAGTGCTCTATCCTACTGTAGTTGAGCTGGTATCCAAGTTACAAGACAAAGTCCTCTTTATTCTTCCTTCTTCTCATTTCAAGCAGAAAAAAGAAGTCTCTCCCAGAGCTGTGAGCTGTGCTACCTGGGGTTTTGGGAGGGGTGGTGCAAGCACTCCCTTGGCTGTCCTAGCCAGTGTCTTGCTGGGTCACTTGCTCCCCAAGTCTACTTTCTCTGAGTCCAGCACAGCAGCAGGACTTGCCAAGGAATTGCAGTCCTCTTGGCCTAGACTGTCTTTCAAGTTTACTTAGGACCCCATAGCATCTTAGCCCATGGTGGTGGGACTTGCTAGAACAAAGGGTCCAACAACTGGGATGGGTGAGTCCACTCTGACTAGGGCTGGTGTATATTCTCCCTCCATAGGCATTGGCTGAGTTCTATATAGTGTTGCTTTTCTGACAGGGCAGCACTGAGTTCCAATGCTAAGTCCCACAATCACTGCACTCTCTCACCTAAGCGCACGCATCTTCTCTCAGCACCACATGGCAGTTGCTGGGAGATGAGGGTGGGGTGGTGTCTGCAATTCAAGGCTGTCTTTTCTACCTTCTTCAGTGCCTCTTTCAATTATATGAGGTAAAACCAGGTACCATGATCACTCACCTGATTTTTGGATATTATGAAGGTGTTTTTTTGTGTGGGCAATTGTTCAATTTGGTGTTCCTATGGGGAGGACAATCAGTAGAGGTTTACATTTGGCCATCTCGCTCCTCCTCCGTTCCAATTCTGAGTCCAAAAACAAAAATAGCACCCTTTGGAAAGAAATTACTATAGGACAAACTGAGCAGGGAGCTATGCTTCACCTCCGTGAGAGCAGACTAACTGCATAACTATTTACTTTGGAAAAGAGCTCCAGATGAAGGCCTGATGAGATTCCCATGTTTACTCTGAAATCATCATTTTGGAATCAGTCATTAAACCTTCGTTGGGTGTGCTCTGCTTCCAAGCTATGCTAAAGAAGCAGTCCTGGATTTGAGAGTCAAATGAGGGTAGGAACAGAGTACGACCAGACCCCACGTCTACGGAGGTCCACAGGCAAGTGATAACGACTCCTATATCCAAACTTCCATCCATGGTCTGAAATCACTGGACGCTGCATGGCAATTCAAAGCCTGTAAATAGAACACCTTGATCCAAGAAACGCAGAGCACTTGGATACAGATGGACATGGCCCTTGGGGGAAATTTCAGGCTTACAAAACTTATGAGGCAGTCCTCACAGAGGATGAGAAATTGGTTCAATATATAACATAAATGATTAAATATGAGTAACTTCTAGATCCTTTGGAATTGAAATTGGTACTATGTATCACTTGGAACATAAACTCAGAGTTCATGGTAAGGTGTGGAATATGGCAAATGACTTTATACCATGATCATCAGACCCTCTCACTCAGTAACTTTATGCTTTTACACAGAGTCTTTAAAAACTTCCTTAATCTTATCATGATCCTATAGTAAATGTTACCTTTAATAGTAATCTTAACCTCATAAGTGAAAGTCTTTAACTAGAAAATATCCAAGATATTTATTGTACACACTACAGTTCAATGTAATTAATAAAATATGAATTTACAACATGCTTTTAATGCAACTGAAAGATCATGCTAATTAGTTTTCTTCAAAAAAGATTAATAGTAAATAGTAAAAATCCTGCCTTGAGTATTCAGCCAATATTAAGAGTTATGCCTGGCGGGGTGCGGTGGCTCACACCTATAATCCTAGCACTTTGAGAGGCAAAGGCGGGCAGATGACTTTAGGTCAGGAGTTCAAGGCCAGCCTGGCCAACATGGTAAAACACTGTCTCTACTAAAAATGCAAAAAAAAATTAGCTAGGTATGGTGGCAGTCACCTGTAATCCAAACTACTTGGGAGTCTGAAGCAGGAGAATCACTTAAACCCAGGAGGTGGAGGTTGCAATGAGCCGAGTCATGCCCCTGCACTCCAGCCTGTGTGACAGAGCAAGACTCCGTTTCAAAAAAAAAAAAAAAAAGCAGTTGTGTCTTAAGGGTTTTAATACAGCATTGTGTCACTTGCAGTATGATACATCAAGCCAAATTCTAAGTCAAAATGTATTAGGCATTCTTGAATGCTAGATGACTGATACCATTTAGTGTATAGAAAACCCGGTTCAGTGTGCAATTTAAAGATTGAAATTTTAGAATAAAAATTAAGATCCACACTTCATGAGAAAATTTGACCACCATATTGAAGTGATAGTTTGCATGTCCAGTTTAGGTCCTTTGTAACAATCTCTACTTAAAAAAAAAAGAAAAGAAAGAAATTAGAGAGTGCTTAGTGATATTCTTCTTGGCTGAGTTAAAGCAGTTTACTAGAATCAGCTTGATCTTTGCCTGTTACTGCTGTCTAAGCACCCTCCATTCATTGTATTACGGATTTGGTTCAAGATGTCCAACTTCCTCTTTTCTCACAATAGAGAATGTAACATAACAGACATCTATAATTAGTTACTTAAAAATACTTTCTGAGGAAGACAATATTAAGAACAGTCTGCCATCATATCCACCTACTTGCAGCCTAACTTCTCTTTTCCATTTAAAGAAACCTCCCAAGAAGCTTGCCCTGAGCATCTAGTACTCCCGAAACACATTCATTGACTCCAGAGACTCAAGATGGGAGGGCAGCCACCCCCACAAACACTCTCACTTCCTAGCTTCTTCTGGGTTATGTCACTTTCCTTAGCTCCCGGTGGAATGAGACATTTAAATTACAACAGCCCATTCAGAAAAACACAACAGCTGCCAATTTGACCTTCTCTCAGGATTTGTGTTTGAAAGAGGGTCCTAGTTGTCTGGTTCACTCCAGAAAATTACTACGATGATGTAGTTGGGTCATGTGACACATGGTTAAAAAAATAAACAACTCTCCTGTTGACATATGACCTACCACTAAGACAGAGGCTTTAGTCCATGTGATGAAATATTGGGCTCTGAGGAAATGTCAACAACTTTGGTTTTCTTAGCATGGAAAACCAATTTGTGTTTTCATATTAGGTTTAATCTCAACTGAGTGAGACTTGTGGTATCTCAATAAATCTGGACTATGTAAAAGTTGCTTTCTGCTCAGTAAGAACAAACCTACAAAAACGTGAAATGAGAGACTTTAAGAACCATTCTGTATGCGCTCTCTGGCTGCTGGGTTGCTGACCTGAGGCTTTTTACCTGGTGGTCTGATGAGTCATGCCATTCAAAAAAAGAGAAGACAGCAAAGATATTTGAATGGTTAGCTATACAGGCAATTAAGAACCTGCTGGGTGGGCTCTTTTCCCGTGAGGCCAAGATGCTGATTTGGAAGATAACAGTGGATTCTTTCTCTGGTACCTACTAATATTCTAGAAATGGAGTACATAGAGACACTGAAGCCAGACTCAGAACAGACAGCCCACAGACTTAGTGTTCAAGTAATTTACACTCTTGACAGGTCTCTAAGAGGTAACTTTTTCTTTTTAAAAAATTTCAGCTATAATATTGACTTGGAAGAACAATCTGGACACAAGCAAGCTTGATCATAGTGCTGTAACACAACTCAGTGTCTTGTCTCTTAGACCAGCTCCTGAGTTCTCTCTCTCTTTGTCTCTCTCTCTCTGCTGATGCTGTCGGCACTCACAAACACCAGGCCGGAGACCTTGGAATCCTTGCTGACTCACTTTCCTCATCAAGGCATAAGATGAGTCTATTTTTCAAATATTTCTCGTCTCTTTATCTCCTCCTTTTTGCCCCTGCCACCACAGAAGTCGAGAATTTCATCTTCTCGCAATGGGAGCATAAAAAGGTCCTCAAATTCTCTACAGTCTTCTTCTCCCTTTCATTGTATGCCCCCAGAATGATCGTTCTAAACTGCAAGTCTAAGCACACTGCAACTTAAAAACCTTCAGTGGCTCAACTTTACCTCAGGAACAAGGGCAAGTTTTTAATATGGCATAAAATTTGGGTTTATAAGCCATCTGACCTATCCTAAATTGCTGCTCTGTGGGACCTATCTCATTCTACCAGAGGGGGTCAGATCCATATCAGTGCCACACCAGGCCGGCCAGCCCTCTTCTTTGCTCGAATTACTTGCTGATTCCTTTTCATCTTCTGATGGCTATCTCAATTGTTCTCTTCTTTATTAGCCTTCCCTAACCCCCTCAGTGTTCTCTAACCCCCTCCTGGGAGCTCTGTAACACGTTGCTTCTATTAGAGCACATACCATGGTATACTGTAGTTACCTGTTGGCTAGGGAGTAATGCCCTCAGCCATTGTCAGATATATGGTAAAAATCAAGTGAATGTTTGTTAAATGACTATATACAAAGCAATTTTCTTCCTAGAACATGTTTTTGACCTACTAGAATTTTATTTCTGGCCTTGTGATTTCTCTCAGGTACAAACTGCTTCAAAAGGAAGAGTTGTAGGACCTTTGATTGACATCCTAAAAAGAACTGTGTAAGGATATGCCAGCACTTGAATCTGAAGACAATGGAAAATAGAAATCTAATTGGAATAAACTGGTCAGATGTGGAGGACATGCTGCCATATAAATACAAGCAAAACAAATTAGGATGATCCATAGAAAGCAAGTCAGGGTTCTTGGAAAAAAATATTGAAAATGGAGGTAGTAGTTCTGGCTGACCTAAATGCATAATGTTTCATTAATTTTTTGCTGACAGATCCTTTGCTTCTAATCTAGCTCTCTGTGTCTTGTTTTTACCAACTATGTGATCTTGAGGAGCTCAGGCTGTCTATGTCTTAGATTTCTCATATTTAACATGAAGGGAAAACACCTGCCCCACCAACGTCATAGGTTTGTTTTGATTTCCAAAAAACAGGGAATATGTGATAACATAGTTTTGGCCTATTCATCACATTTCTTCCTCTTTTTTTTCCTTCAGTTTTATGTTGTTTATTAGAGCTTCCTTTTTTTTGTTATTATACTTTAAGTTCTGGAGTACATGTGCAGAACATGCAGGTTTGTTACATAGGTATACGTGTCCCATGGTGGTTTGCTGCACCCATCAACCCATCATCTACATTAGGTATTTCTCCTAATGCTATCCCTCCCCTAGCCCCCCATCCCCCGACAGACACTGGTGTGTGATGTTCCCCTCCCTGTGTCCATGTGTTCTCATTGTTCAACTCCCACTTATGAGTGCGAACACACAGTGTTTGGTTTTCTGTTCTTGTGTTAGTTTGCTGAGAATGATGGTTTCCAGCTTCATTATGCCCCTATTCATCACATTTCTAATAGTAAATGAACGTAGAGAAGAAATGCTGATTTTGTGAGTATTTGTCATGTATTGACTAATGTAACACTTTAGAAGATATGAGCATATTTGAAATCATCATTAAATTAGCCATTTTGTGTTTTCAAAGAAAGTTAAGAATGACCTAAACTGTTAACTGGGCACAGTGGCTCATGCCTGTAATCCTAGCACTTTGCGAGGCCAAGGCAGGTGGATTGCTGAGTCTAAGAGTTTGAGATCAGCCTGGGCAACATGGCAAAACCCTATTTCTACAAAAAATATAAAAATTTGCTAGGGGTTGTGTTGTGCACCTGTAGTCCTAGTTACTTCTGGGGATGAGGTGGGAGGATCACTTGAACCTAGGAGGTCGGGGGTACAGTGGCCTGATCATAGCTCACTGCATCCTTGACAACCCTGACAGAGAGAGACCCTGTCTCATTAAAGGAAAAAAAAAAAAAAAAAAGACCTAAAATATTGAGGAAAGTGAGTGAAGGCTTTTCTCATCAGAATTCTGAAGCTATTTTACTGCACTCGTCCAACTCAGAAAAGCAATTATGTAGGTAATTATAGTTTGTATTTGGAGATTAGAATTCATCCTATGAGTAGTTTACTAAAATGCATATCACATACAAAGTGTTGGAATTATATTATAACATTTTAAAGTAAAATAAATGGTTGAACTAAATGAATTTGTTTATACTGTCACCTGTTAGCGCTTGATATAGTAGAAACGAAGTTTAATTTAGACTGTGATATTAATATGCTTTTAAAACAACTTTAAAGAATTTTATAGCTATTATAATTATAATTATGAACAGTATCAAGCCGAGTTAACAGATAAATCTTTTGGAATTGCCTTTCTTTATAATAAGTAAATAAAAATAATCAGTAATTCACCTGCAATAATTTGCATGAAACTGTATACAAACCACTTTGTGCTATGCTTTCCTCATTTCATATTAGTGGTTGAGAAATGTTTCCTGGCTGAGTAGTTAATATATGAATAATGCTTATCAAATTAAGGTATTTGAAGTATTAGAAAATCTTAAGCTCCTTTTCCTATCATCATATTTATAACTTTCATTTCCATTAACCAGGTAAATATAGTTTGCTAAGTGAAGATAATCCTTCCTACTCTTTTCCTAATAAAATGTCAATGAGAATTCCATTTAAAATCATTTGTGGAAAGACATGTGAATAGTTCGCAGTATAAATAAAGTTTTTGTCTATTTTTAAATAGGATCTGATGCCATCAAAAGTCACAAGAACTGTCTGGAAATGTAAGGAATTTTAAGCGAGGGATTAGTTGTTTTACAAAATTCATTAAAATATGCACCAACCATTCTTCATCTCTTTATGAACAAAGGTAGGATACTATGTAATTTTGTGTAGATTTCTTCCAGCTGATATTACATTTTGAATGCAGAACTAAATGAATTTGTTTGTGTTGTCAGCTTTGGGTACCTGATGTTATAAAACTGCAGTTCTAATTGGAAATGTGATTCTGATATACTCCCTTTAGGAGTTTGATTGTTTTACTTACTTTATGAAGCAAGAAATAATAATAGAATTTTTAGCTCTCATAATCAAGACCCATTTGAATACTCATAAATTAAAGGTATTTAGATGTCAAGACTATAAAGCCTATGACATGAAAAGGACCAGATAACTAGTTAAATGAATTTCCATGGGTCAAGTTGCACAAATAACATAGTGTAGAAGTGTGGATTAATTTTCACTCTGATAACGCGTTATCTTGTTTAAATGTGATTAAAAATCCCCACTGGGTTCGATGTTAATCTTTCCTCCAAAGATTTGGATCTTATCAAGTTTGGGAGCTACTTTGGAAGTAGAGAGTGCTCTCCAAAAGAACTCTCAAGAGGTAGTATCAGTTTTTACAATCTACTCTGGGGTAATGAGAGAGTGGTTGAGTTTACATAGATTATCACTTATGGCTGCCTCTCTGGCTTGACATTGTACAGGGGGAGAGCTCAGAGCTCAAGGAGGCTCAGACAAGGTCAGACACAGAGAAATTTGGAGACTATTTTTAGTGATTGGACTTAAGATGCTTTAGGTTTTGTTTTGTTTGCATTATCTTATCTTCTTTTAATGCCTCAAAAATTTCCCTATCTATAAAGAGTCTTTGCTTTAAAAAATTCCCTATGTAATTCATTCAGCAAACATGTATTGAGGGTCTGTTATGTGCCAATTACTATGCTGGGGGCTGGGGATGTAGCAGTGAATGAGGACAATGAAATGCTTGCCCTTCTAGGACTGACAGTGGTGGTGAGGTTAGCATTAACTAGACGATACACAAGAGCAATAAGGGCTCTGACAGTATCTTTCTTCCTTAAATACTGTCTTTCACTGCATTTTTCTCTTTGGGGACTTAAAGGATATGTTCAAGTTATCCTGTTACTTTATATTTGAATACAATGAACATTCATTTATTGATTCATTCATTCTTCTTTCTTTTTTTTTTTTTTTTTTTTTTTTTGAGACAGAGTCTCGCTTAGTCGCCCAGGCTGGAGTGCAGTGGCGCGATCTCGGCTCACTGCAAGCTCCGCCTCCCGGGTTCACGCCATTCTCCTGCCTCAGCCTCCCGAGTAGCTGGGACTACAGGCGCCCGCCGCCTCGCCCGGCTAATTTTTTGCATTTTTAGTAGAGACGGGATTTCACCGTGTTAGCCAGGATGGTCTCGATCTCCTGACCTCGTGATCCGCCCGCCTCGGCCTCCCAAAGTGCTGGGATTACAGGCGTGAGCCACCGCGCCCGGCCCATTCTTCTTTCAATAAGTATAAATTGACTAAGTCATCTTTCTAACAACTGAATGATAGTAAGATTCATTAGTCCGGCCCTTAAGTATCCTATGACCTAGGGTGGGAGATTATATATATATATATATATATACACACACACACACACACACACACATCATGATGATTATGCCACTCCATACAGTTATGAAAATACAGATAAAAGGTTATTTCCAATTAACAGAGTCAGGAAAGCCTCCCTGGATGAAGAAGCTGTAAACTGGGCCTTACAATTAGCGCGGTTATATGCACATGGCAAAAGGAGAGAAGCTATTCCAGGTAAAAGACAGAAAAATAAAGGCAGAAAGTTGGGAACTCAGAATCAACAAAGGAGCAGCAACCATTCGGTCTGGCTGATTTCTCATCTCATTTTTGATAGGGTGAGTTAGGGATGAGGTAGACGTATGGAGAGAAAAGAGGACAGTTATAAGCAACTAATAAATGTTTGTTGCCAAAGACCACCACAGAATCCTCATTATTTGCTAGCTCCTTTATGGAACATGCTTTGAAATCTAGGGTGTTCTACAACTACCCCACCTCACAGGGCTAGTCCTGTAAGTTTCAATTATCTTAAGTTATTCTAGTTATACAGGAATGCACAATATTAAAATTAACAGATATTGAAGCCAAATAATCAACAATAGCTGGAAGCATGTACCTTGGAAAGATATGTTCTCATTTTGAAATTGAATCCCAGACAAAACTCATGGAATTTCAGGTTTGGTTACAATGCTGAACTTGTACCAAGTTCACCAAAGTTCATTTCCATGGAGCCTGGAGTGAGTTAGGCATAAATCATAACCAGCCGAGGTGGAGGCCCACATGCATACATTCATAGGTACAGACAGACAAACCCCAGTCCTTCGTAGCTTCAGATGGAAACCACATGAAATGTCATGGCCTTGCACAGCGTTAGCCGGAAGCCTGGGCAGCTCTGTGCCTTCCACCGGGGCTCTCTCAGTGGTTTTATTTCCAACTGATCCTGAGTGTACAGCAGGATGCCCAACCTGCCCATGGAAACTAAGAAGCTTGAGGAAATAAGTGGGTCGAAACTATGAAACGGTGCTGACTGTTCAAACCTATGTTCTGTAAAATTTACAACAGATACAGTCACCTCACATTTCCATGTAAATTACTCTTCAAGAGGGAAGCTTGCCTTGCTGGGGCTTCCACTGTTGAATTTTTAAAACTGACATCACCTTCTGTTCCTAGCTGGAAATATGAGACAAAGAAAGATGAAAACAAGAGGGAGAAAATGTTCTATCTTACTTCAACAGGCTCTGTTTTATTGCAGGTAATCAATTATGTTAGCATTTTGATTTACCTGTATAAAACATACATTTATCACAGTTTCTAATTGTTTTGTGAATGGTATTTAGCTTATCAAACAATAAAAGCTGTGACTAGCAATGCTTTTGCTACACTTTCCTGGTTTAATAAATCTTAAGAAAAGTTCAGCTTTGCCTCCACTGGGACTTTTCTTCTTTATGCAAATCGAAGGTGCAAACTTTAGAAATAAATAGATACTGAAGAGCTTTCAATATGAATGTGCTTGAATAATTTACATGATGCTTTGGTGTTTTGTTTAGGACCATTAGACAGAAAGACATGTGCAATATGGCTTAATGTGTATTTATTATATGAACTTAAAATATACCTGAGCTTTATGTCTTCTCTTCACAGTACCATAAAAAGTTATTTATCCTAAAATGATGCTAAAAATATTTGAAAGCACTTTCTATATCACATGAATAAAATGTACACATGAGGGCAATGTGTTTTAATATTGTAAAATAAGTGGAAAGTGGGCATCAAAATGAATCTATTTTTAAAGGTCTGTGTTTCACACTGAGTGATAGGATGGCTTTTATTGCTCACTGGCAAGGTCAGTACTTGGTAAAGCAGTACAGTATCCCTCTCCCACCAAGCTGCAGTAATCTAGTAAATTTCAGATATTTTGGCTTAAGTAGGAAGAAGGAAGAAGTTCCTCATATGTGTTCTAATAGGCATTAAATTTGTCCATCACCATGAGAACAAAGTCTATTTTTTTTTTTTTCCCCCAAGTGACTTTTGCCTTCTTAGCTTAAACCATCAGGTTAAAATAAAAACATTTTAAACTGAGGGAAAAAGCCCACCTTTCCTTTCAAATAAATGTACAATCATTGATTTTTCTTGCAATGTTCCACAAGAAAGTGGCACCACTGAGTGATACGCGTACCCCAGGGCTAACAGCTGGAGGGCAAAAACCACCTTTTATCCATGATTGACAAATAATACATAATGAGAAGAGAGAGGCAATTCAAGTTTTACATTTCACTCTCTTCGGCTTTTTAGGGCAGCTGGGCACTGCTGTTCTCACTTGGTAACCTTTGAGGTGCTGCCAGCAAAGGGGACCCAAGTGACAATTCTTTCTCTCCTCCTACAATCCCCCAAAGCTCTAATAAATATGTGCAGCTTGCTCTTTCAAAGAGCGTCCAGCTGCTAACAATTCCATTGTTTCTCTTTGGAATGAAAATCCTGGGGGTCTGGAAATGTATTGCATGGTTATAATGACTATAGTAGAGTAAGGCTGAAATCTGAAATCTCCCAAAGCAGCATCATCCCCCAATAAAGTGAGGAGTCTGTTGGTAGCTGATGAATAAGGAGTTGGAGAAAGAGAGAGCCTAGTAAAAAGAAAAATTAAATTAGAGTTCTGTTACAAGTGAGCTTTATGAAGTAGTATTGAATTGAAGGTATTCAAAATAAAGCATACATTTCACAAAATTAAGACATGTTTAATGTAAATAATTTAGAAAACATATAAGAAAAAAATAATCAATGACCTAAAAAACTAGAGATAGCTGATATACTTTTGGTTTCTTTTAGAATTATTTCCACATTTATGTATCTCTATATTTTTGACCATGTCAATACCCATATCCATATACTCATCTCTCTACAACTGTATCTATATACAATGCATATCCTTATACACTTAAATCTGTCTGTTAATCTAAGTAGCTGTCTGATGTGGTTTTTCCACCTAATCCCTCCACTTCAACCAAATCTTTTCTCCCCGTGTGTTCAATCATGGCAAGAAATGATAATTCTGTCTTTCCAATTATATGGGCCACAAATCTTGGATTCATTCTCTACTTCTCTCTCTCTCACACTCCACTTCCAATACTTCTAATACTTACTGACTCTATCTTAAGTAATTATGCAGAATCTATCAATTATCATCTCCTTCCTACCAACCTGGTAGGAAGGTGTCATTACCCATCACCATCTCTTGCATGGATGATGGTGATGGCCTCTTAACTGTACTCTGTGCTTGTATCTTGGGCTCCCTAATATCTGACACAATGGCTAGACTTAGTCTCAAAAAATAAAGTTAGACCATTCATTCTTCTGCATGAAGGCCGGTAATGACTTCCCATCTCATTCAGAGTAAAATCCAGGGTTTAAACAATGGCTTAAGTTGTTAAGTCTCTCAATGAGGATGTTGTTTACATTTTGGACAAGAGTTTTAATGTGAAAATGTCCCTCAGGTTGTAAGATTTTTAATATCCCTGCTTGCCCCAAGTGCCTGTAGAACCCCATATTCATGTAACAATGAAAAAAATGCTCCCAATATACTTCCAAATGCACTGGAGATGGCAATACCATCCCCAGTGGAAAACCATTTTGGCTCTTCTAACCACATCCTGTCATAACTCATCTCTACCTGCTTCCCTTTGGCTTATTCTGACACAGGCTTGCTGCTTGTTGGGTAGGGTAAGAATTTTGCTATCAGGGTACTTTGCCCTTACTGTTGCCTGGGATCTTCTTCCCTCAAGTCACCTTAGTTGTTCGAGGTGTTTACATGTCAACTTCTCATCGAGGAAGCCATCTCATACCTGTTGCTGTGCTTTGTTTTCGCTCTTTAGCACTTATCGCTATAAAACATACTATATATTTTCCTATTCATCTTGGTTGTAATGACCTAGTGTTCTTCCTTATTAGAATGTAGGCTCAGTGAGGGCAGAAGCTTGGTCTATTTTGTTCACATCTGGATCCATGATATCTAAAGCAGTCCTGGCACAAAGTAGGCACTCAGTAAATAAGAATCACTGGATATTTCAAAAAGAGAATTTTAAATATATTGTATCTCAATAGAATTGACTACATTAATGGTTTATTTCAGGAAAATTTCTGAAAATCCAGTGAAAACTATATATCCACCTCCAAGGAAAGCACATATTAATATGTACATACATACATTTGCACATGTATACACACACAGAGATTTTTCATATAACCCATCTACATCCAATAAAATCCATCCAAGTACATGTTAGTTTATTTTGATTTCAGCAAACAATCCAAAAATCTTTTCACAGTATTCTGGAAGACAAAGTAAGAAATCCAACAATAGAGTTGGGTGGATCAGTGACAGGTAGATGACTATTATCAAAAAAATACAATGAGATTTAACAGGGATAGATATAAAGTTCAAAAATCTAATTGGAAGCACATGTTGGAGAAGATGAACTTTAATGGAACTTGGGGGTTCCAGTTGACTGCAATCATAATATGAGTCAACAGAGATTTGTAGCTGCCAAAACAACTAATTAAATGTTGAGGCTTCATAGATAAAGTTATAGCAACTAAGAGATATGGTGCAGTTCTATTCTCTTTTGAACCAGACAATACCTATAATGCTATGTCTACTTTCCAGTGCCAACATTTTTGATCCACTGCAACAAACCAGAGAAGACTTAACCAGAATGACAAGGGTATTATAAACTAGAAACTAGAGGTGTTTCACCTGAAAATTGGGAGATTTTGAGGTAACTTGAACATAATCTTCAATAGAAAGCTAATTCACTCACAATATACATATTTTTGAATACTCAATAAAACATATATATCCTTCTGAATGGAAAAAGTACAAGGTGACAGGGAAAAATACAGTTCCTCTCTTCCCATGTCCTCCAGCCTCCCAGCTACCTTTCCCAGGGGCAATCACAATGATCATTTTTTTTTTTTTTTTTCTCCTAGAGGTTACTCACATGTTTATAAACTTGTATGTATAAACTATTTCAGTTTTGGAGCTCTTTCCATTTCAGTTTATGAGGAGAACTTCAACTCTGACATGGTGTAAGTCTGCATTCCATTTCAAGCTGACATGGCAATGTCAGACTGCAAAATGTATGGAAGGTGAAGGAGCAGTCCTGGGAAGCCACCTGGGGCCTGTGGGATTTCCAGGTCATCAGAATATCTCTTGCAGACCCTGGGGTAGTCTGACCCAGGATTTGAAAAGTATTAACCTTTTAGCTATTAAGAACACATCTACACTTTTGAATTTAATCTAAACATCTGAAAGATGTTGGGTGGTCCCCAGTGATTCAAGTGCTTTGAGTTTAAAAATGCAGTTGAGGATGAGAAAGAGAGGAGATGAGAGAGTTTGAACAGTTATTTTATACTGAGAAATTGTTTTACAAAACTCCTCAATGCTTTTATTAACCTCTATAATCCAACCCCACTAGATTGTTCCAATATTTTCTTCCCCGACTACCTTATCCATACTTTAGATTCAGTCTGGGCAATTTCTTTAAGGACCTCAATGCACACCATGCACTTCAGCGACTATGCTTTCACTTATATTGGTCCTTCTTCCTAAAATGCCCTTCAATCTCCTTCTTGATTAAGGACTGCTAAGTCTGCAAGTGCTTACTAAATTTGTCTTACTCCTGAAGGCAAAATGCCTTAGTAGCTAAGCAACTAGATTCCAGCATTTGACTATATGTGCTCAATTCCTAATCCAGTTTCTTTCTTTTTTTTTTTTTTTGAGATGGAGTCTTGCTCTGTCACCCAGGCTGGAATGCATTGGGGAGATCTCAGCTCACTGCAACCTCTGCCTCCCAGGTTCAAGCGACTCTCCGTGCCTCAGCCTCCCAAGTAGCTGGGGGTACAGGAGCGCACCACCACGTCCAGCTAAGTTTTGTATTTGTAATAGAGACGGGATTTTGCCATGTTGGTCAGGCTGGTCTCGAACTCCTGATCTTAGGTGATCTGCCTCCACAGCCTCTCAAAGGTGTGAGCCAGGGTGCCCGGCCTAATCCTGCTTTTTATTAACTTTTTGACGTTGAGCAAGTTTATCGCTTGAAGCCTTAATTTCCTTGTCTATAAAATATTGATGATAATGATTAGAATTTACAGCATTGTTATGAGATTAATTGATGTGGAATATACCTGGTCCATGATGAGTGTTTAATAGATGTTGGTGTGGTGATGACGACATCTGTAATTTGTCTAAACCACACAATTTTCCTCATTTGGACTTGTCTACATCAATATTCCCTGATTCATAATTTAATAGTTGATGAAATACAATGTTTTATTCTTTACTAATTGTTTCCTAAGTTTTGGATTGACTCTGTCTAATAGATTTTAAACTCTTTGAGGGCAGGAGGTATGTATTATAATTATTTCTAGGCATATAGTATCTGTTCTATGAATACTGAGATAATTGATTAATTTAAAGAATTAATCACTTTTCAGCCTTAAATTAGTTTTAGAAAAATGCCCAATTGCTTCTTTGGGGCACATATTTGCAAGCAGTTTGGAACAATTACGGGAGCAGTGAATCAAAAAGAAATTCTAAAATTTAAAAAAAAAAAATTCTACTTTGATACAGTCACTAATTTCCAAAACATCATTTCCAGAAAGTCAATATTTTCCTTTTGGTTTTATTAGAGCTCTGAAAGTCCCTCATTTTGCATTTTGTAAAATTACAGTAAACATTACCAGTAGTGTGTAAATCTTCTTGTAAGTAAAATCTCATTTCCAGAGAAGTTTTGTTACTAGGTTTTGGACAGATCACTTTTTTATTTGTCTGTGGATTATAGTAGTAACTGGCATTATAGGAATCTTAATACTGGATCACACCTGCATGCCTAATCCCAAAGCAGTGTGCTTTTCATAAGAAACCTCATTTTTCTTTTCTCATGTTAGTTTGTATGAAATCTTCTGGTTTACATTTTTAAGGGGTGATATGTACCATTATATGTGCATAAAACATATTTTCAGAGACCTGTTTTCCTATACTTGTACTTATCCCAGCCATTAAACTTAAAATTTAATCTCGTCCATGACTTGCGATGTGGTCTGTTGCCAGCAGTATAAAAATTTCTTACCTCAAGCCAATTTATTTAATATTTAAAACATTTGCACTTTTCTTCCAAGGGCATGTCAAAATGGGTATTTCTGTTTCAGAAACTTAATTAACTTAGTTAATACCCCTCAGAAAAACGAATGGGTAGATATGGAAAGAGATAGAGAATGCTGATGGTTGCCTATAAAGTAGTATGTGTTCTTCTCTTTTCATTTACAAGGAACCCCAATTTTGTTTCTTTCCTCACCCTTTTCTCATATAGCCAAGGACCTCAGGGGAAACCAACCTTTGTGATTCCACTGCCCCACTGAATCAAGTATTGGTACACAAGTGGACATGCAACCCAATTTTAACCAAAAGTATTTAAAGAAGAGGGGACTTACTGGACAAATCAGAAAGAAGTTTTTTCTCTGTTATGAAAGAGTATTGAAAGGTAGTTTATTTTCTTCTCTTGACTGTGGTAAGTTTTGGTTGTAGACTTGTATATTCTGAAGCTATCCTGTTCCATCCCACGGACCATATTATATGTGGAATAGAGCAGAGCTGAGAGAACGGTAGGGGAGCCCAGCCAGAACCATTGGATTAATACCTCCCTGAAGCCCATCTTATCTCTGAATTTTCAGCAATGCAAGCCAACAATGTCCTTAATATTTAAGCCACTTTGAGTTTTCTATTACATGTGACTGAGAACATGCTAAAAGATACAGAAATATTCTGAATTTATGCACACAAGTGTGTTAATGAAGTCATCGCCATCTAAAATATGTATTAAAAGTTTGGGGTATCTTTGAATGAATCACTTAGAATTAGGATCAAGTTTCTCACATTTACATTTGTTGCTACTGTATTTTAACCCTAAAGAGGGGAGATGATAAAATCAAAAGGAGCCAAGGAAAAAACAGAGTATTTATTGTTAACTATGATTAATCAAATATGATCATAATTTGGTTCTGGCATACATTCAAGGGAATGGATCTAACCACAAATAAAAAGGAATCCTCAAACCTCTTTGAATCAATGTAAGACTATATAATTTTTAAAAATCTTATAAATTCATGTTGATTAAAGTTTGAAAGCTAAAATGCCCTAGAACATTGATTTCCATCCCTTTTGAATAATGTTAAATATTTTCACAAAGCAATGCCTTCCTACCCCATCTATAATTATAATGCTATTTAAACTATTTGTTGAGCAAGAAAATTCATAATGGAATTCAATACAGCTTTTTAGTAAAGCTTTAAATTTATTTATTATTAGAGCAAAAACCTAGAGATTAAAAAATGGAGTCACATGGCTAAGCAAGATGTATTATTTATTCAGTCCAAAGAAATGCTATGTTACATTTGGATTCAAGGAACTTTGCAGTAATTCCAAGAGGTAGAATGTAAGTCCCTGGGGGAAAAAGTCTCCATGTGTGTTCAGTTTTTTGTGTGTGATGAAACCTGTATGTGTTTTCATTTTCTTTCCTCTAAGAAACTTTTATACACATATTAACAGTTGCAGAGTGTTAGTGGGAGAAGAGAAACCAGCATAAAGTAAAATACTAGTAGCAACGATTAATGTAACACTTATTGTGGCCAAGAATTTTACATTTGTTATCTCATTTAAGTTTCATGAAAGTCTCCATTTACAGAGAAGAAAACTAAGACTGAAACCACCTTGCTCAAGCTCATTGAGCTAGCAAGTGGAGGAATTAGGGATGCAAAACAAGGTCTGCATGCCTCTGGGGTCCATGCCCTTAACTATGATGTCATATCGCCTTAGAATACTACATCAGGCTGGGAGTACTCAGAAGAATTCAGAGCTTCTGAATTTCAGATTGGTCCACACTTGACTCACCTGTCTTTTCAAAGTGAATGTAGCTTCAGAATTAGGGAACTTGATAGCGTGAACCCCCTGCAAATCAGCAGCAGAGCACAGACGCCTAGTTTTTTTTTTTTAATTTAATAAAGTTTTATTTTTCCAAATGTTCAGTTGGTTGGACCTATTCATGCATCTTCACCAGCAGCTGGAGCATCTCCGCCCTTGGTATTTCTGGTGTAAATTACTTGAACTCTGTGCTTTGAAACCAGTTTGATATGTCCTTTACTAAGGAGCTCCTAAAGGGCTGCCCTGACCAGGGAGCCTCGAATCTTCAGTCTCTCAGAGACCACAGCTGGGATTATAAGTTTATAGTTGGGAACTTCCTTACAGAGTTTGTCATAGGTGGCTTTGTCAAACAAGACTAAGTTATTGAACTTGTCCCGAATTTTGCCTTTGGACCACTTCTTCTTTTTGGCCTGGCCCCCGGATTTGTTCACCGGGTCTTTGTCTTTCTTAGCCGACTTTCCGGCGTCTTTCTTCTTCTTGTCGTCTTTGGGCGGCATTGCCAAGCTCTGAGAGCAGCAGAGGACACCGCAGCCTTGCTAAGATGTCGGGCAAAAAAAAGGGGATGCCTAGATTTTTAATCTAACTCTGCCATTTACTGACAATGTAAATGAGATGGTTTGGCTGTGTCCCCACCCAAATAATTCCCATATGTTGTGGGAGGAACCCGGTTGGAGGTAGTTGAATCATGGGGGAAGGTCTTTCCCATGTTGTCCTCGTGATAGTGAGTAAGTCTCACGAGATCTGATGGTTACTGTAAGGGGGAGTTTCCCCGCACAAGCTCTCTTCTCGTCTGCCACCATATGAGAGGTGCCTTTCACCTTCTGCCATGATTGTGAGGCCTCCCCAGTCACGTGGAACTGTAAGTCCAATAAACTCCTTTCTTTTGTAAATTGCCCAGTCTTGAGTATGTCTTTATGAGCAGTGTGAAAACGGACTAATACAGTAACCTTGCATATCTTATTGACCTTCTCCGAGCCCCTATTTCTATTTCATTAGCATTGGAAGAATAAAATCTTCACTGTCTATGTAATTGTTTTTGAGGAGTAAGCCAAACTGCATATATTATAAAGTACAAAACGATAGTATACATTATGACTATTTTGTGATTTTCTCAAGTATTCTGCTTTTCCATGGAAATAATGAATTGTAATAATGACGGACATCTATTATTGTTGCTGTTATTATTGCTAATCCTACATAAAGCAACAGGATTAACTATCTATTAATTAGGGAGGGAATAAGAAAAAGGAAAAATGTTCCAGGATTCATGGTCATTTTGGGAAACTTGATAATTTAGTACTGGAATAAGACTTTAGGACTGATCTTGGCAGGATAGCCAAAGGGCTGTGCCACCATGAAACTTAGAAAGCTCCATTTTCGCCAGGCACAGTAGCTCATGCCTGTAATCCCAGCATTTTGGGAGGCCAAAGCGGGCAGATCACCAGGTCAGGAGATTAAGATTATCCTGGCCAACATGGTGAAACCCCATCTCTACTAAAAATACAAAAATTAGCTGGGCATGGTGGCACTTGTCTGTAATCCCAACTACTCAGGAGGCTGAAGCAGGAGAATCACTTGAACCACGGAATCGGAAGTTGCAGTGAGCCGAGTTTGTGCCATTGCCCTCCAGCCTGGCCACAGAGCAAGACTCCATATCAAAAAAAAAAAAAAAAAAAAAAAAGAAAAGAAAGAAAAGAAAGAACGCTCCATTTTAAGAAAGGGAAACATTCCACTTCAATTTTCTCATTTGTAAGATTTAAGAGTATATTTTAAACAATGTCTTTCATTCTCCCCTCAAGAAAAGGAAATAAATCTTACTAATGCAGAATATGCATTAGACAATTTGATTCTTTTTCTGTACTTGAATGAATAAAGAACCTATTTTTATAACCATAGAATTACTTGGAATGGAATGGTTATGGAGAAGGTTACATGTAAAACAATTGAAAAAGTAGAAAATAAAATTATTTACAAAGTCAATTAGAAAAATCCATTAATAAAAATATTCCATCAAAGTAATGAGGTGCAGATCTATGGGATTCTTTACCACACTGATGTTCCAAGTGCAATGTTAATATCTTTGTTTTTAAGTCCTAGCATTTCACATGCGTGTATTTTTCTAGGTTTGATTGCAGTTAAACTCTAGGTCCCAAATACCAGCTATATAGGGACATAGCTTGTTGGATTTTCAGTAACTTGTAGAAAAACAGCATGAAATAATTTTTAAAAAATGTGCCCAGATCTAAGGTACAGAAGTTCTAGGTTCTAGTACATGTTAGCACTATAAAAGTAACTATAACATACCATGTTTATCAATTTAAATATTATCAGCTTAACAGGAATAACAATATATGCTTGGTTTTCTTCAATTTTACTGTAAAGGTAAAACAGAAGGACTTCATAGTGCTTGGTAAATTTTAAACAACTTATAATTATACTAATCCCCTTCCCCAAAGTTTCTGCATATATCTTCAATTTTTCATTTTCATAACGTAAATCATTGAAGTTTGAAAAAACAAAAACTCGACTTGTTCTTTTCTGACAGCACTGTGGATGGGATGTGTACTGACAATGAGGTTGCTGAATCAAATGGTTATTTGCTCTCAGTTTTGTTTTCCAGGAACCCATCTACCATACATTACTTGGAAAACCAGTTTTTAAGGCTTTTTAAATGTGCCCTTAATATCGTTTGGTTGTTGCTACTTAGAGGAAACGCTTCAGAGAATCCTTTAAAGTGGATTATAATAATGCTAAACATATTTAAAAAATCATTATTAATTCTAATACTCCTTCTGTATATTTAAGGATGGCCTGCATACTTTAAAAAAGGACCCATAACTATTTCAAGCGTCAAAATATTTCTATTATTTCTTCAAAACAAAACACAAATTGAATTAGTAAACCTTTTCCCTTTCACCATACTGGCAGGCTAATCATGTGAACTGAAATACGGATAATAAAGCATATCTGGTTCTCATTTCTGAACTCAACACCAGATGTTGTTTTCAAGGTTTGTCTTTTTTTTTTTTTTAACTTTCATGAAACCATTTCGTTCCAAAGGTGATGGGGGAACTCCTTGCAGACCAAAATTTTTAATTTTATATTTTACTATTAAGCCATCCTTATGGTCAACATTTCCAGTGAATGATCCATAATAACAAAAGAGATCTTTTATATATATATATATGTGTGTGTGTGTGTATATATATCTATGTATGTATAGATAGTCCTTTTAACCTAGAATATGGGATAAAAACGCGCTCCCAGTAGAAAGTTCCTTAAGAAGGCCCTCACACTCTGCAGTGGGAGAGGGAGGAACTTGGGAAGAGCTTGGCATCACAGGAGACTTGTGAGACTTCGTTTTTGCAGTTAGTATTTGCTCTGAAAGCTTGTGCTGGGGACAGAAATGAGTCATCTGTTATGGGGAAGCTCAACCATTCATGAAACAAAAAAAAACTTACCTTAAAACATCATATCCAAGTTGTTGCTCAAAGGTCTTTTTTAGACTTTTTGTAATTGGAAGAAAATATAATTTCTGACAACTTTTTTCTTTTTTTGAGACAGAGTCTCACTCTGTTGTCCAGGCTGCAGTGCAGTGGCAAGATCTTGGCTCACTGCAGCCTCCAACTCCCAAGTTCAAGGGATTCTCCTGTCTCAGCCTCCCGAGTAGCTGGGACTACAGGCACCCGCCACCACGTCCAGCTAATTTTTTCTATTTTTAGTAGAGATGGTTTCTGCCATGATGGCCAGGCTGGTCTCAAACTCCTGACCTCAAGTGATCCACCCGACTTGGTCTCCCAGAGTGCTGGGATTACAGGTGTGAGCCACGGTGCCAGGCCTCAATTTCTGACAACTTTAAGGAAGCCATTAGCCCAAACAGAATCATCAAATGTTAAAATACCTGAAATTATATTCCCAAAGCAATGGGACAAACCCATGATGTTACTCTTTGTTTAAAATAAGTTTTATAGGTATGTGCATTTAGCTATTTATTAACATGACATTTAGCGAATCTATCTTATTTTAATATAAAAAAGGGAGTTGAGAGTTGTGAATCGGGCTGTATATAAACTAAAAGAGGATCTACTAACTTATTAATTCAACAACATGTATTGAGGATTTAATGTCTACCAGGCACTCGATAATGAAGATCTACGATGTATACTTAAAACTTAGAATCTATAAAGAGAATCAAGCATGAGAAAACAGCAATAGTATGTCATAAAAACTCTAATAGAGTACTGGACAGCTCTGTGTTCATTCTGCATTCATGCGTATGCATATGTGTATATTTGTACACAGTGTGCATTGGTCACCTAATATATGCTGAGCTTCGGAGATACATATAGTGGTGAAAAGTGAGCACTACAGACACAGACCTTTCCTCTCAGCATTTGCATTTCCAGTTGTCCACTGGGCACCCTCACTCAGATTTCTTCCTGTACATCAGAAACAACTTTGGTAAAATTGAGCTGACTCTTTCTACCCTGAAGTCAGTTTTTTCTCCTGGCATCCTTGCTTCTGTTAATGGCACTCTCATTCCTTCAGTTCCTGAGGCCTCAAGCACCAAATGTCAACTCTTTCTTTTCCTTTGCCTCTTACAATGGTTCTGTTAATTTTACTTTCCAAATACCTTACCATTTTCTTTTTGCTAGTCTCAGTCTCCCCTGTTTTATTATAGTTCCTTAGTACCTTTCACCAGGCATAGTTCAAAGTCTCCTATCTGATTTCACTTGTCTTTTATTTTTTTCTCTCTCATTTAAATGGATAAATTGTTAGAATATTCTTCCTAAGAATACTAATCACATCAGGCCCTTGTTCAGCAGCCCTCGATGGCTCCCAAGTCCCTGTCTAATTAAGTAAAATCTCCCTAGCCTTTCATTTATGCCTACCATAATAGCCCCGACCACACTAACCAATGAATATAAATTATATTTATGTCCAAATTATAATGGTGCTGAGCTACCCCCTGCAGAGAATATCCCTTAAACTTCTGGTTCTGATTATCTAACTTTGTGTGGATTTTTTTTAAAAAGGAAAGCTGTTTTCAACTTGTGTATTGGGTTTTTCTGAAGGTTGTTGCATTCCAATAACAGTGGCACAGGCCTTTTTCTGCCTCTTTGATTATGTACTTTTTAAAATCTATTTTTCATTCTTGATTGTGAGAGCCAAAAGAATGGAACTGACAAGGCAGGGCTCTCCTAGGCAAGTAGAGAAAAGGAAGAAATGGTATAGAAAAGTCATATTCCTCTTGAGTAGATGTGCAGATGGGGAAGATGGCAAACAGTCATGCATTAATAATTTTGGTCCCCATCACACCCATTTGCCAGCTGTAGTCAACACTTGGCATTGTCCAGCTTATTCCTTTCTGGCTTTCACTTGTCAACGCCCAGTGCATGAAAAGCTCACTGAAGACGCCTGACCACTGTTCTATCATGAGAACATCAACACTAGTGCCAAAAACTGGCTCCTAATGCTGACTCCGTACATCACCCTCCAGAGGACTGAGACCAGAGGCTCCTTCCCAAACACACCCTGTTTTCTTGTCTCCATGTCTTCTGTCTTTTGGAAATGACATCTTCCCATTTCTGCTGTCACAGTCCTGTCATTCAAATTCCATATCTCATTCTAGCTACTCTCTGATGCTTTTCCCAATGTC